AAGTTAAAGCTTTATTTTTAACGCCATAATTTTCTATTTTTGTCGTTAAAATCTTATGGTTGACGGTGTCAAACGCCTTTGACAAATCAATAAAGATTCCTAACGTGAATTTTTTATTGTTTAAATGATTTACTAATCCTATTTGAGAGATCAAGGATTGCATGCTCTGTTGCGTGTCGCTTTTGGAAACCGTATTGACCTTTATTGATAATTTTATTAGTTTTTAAATATTTATTTAATTTATTGTAGATAACTCGCTCAAGAAGTTTTGCGAATACCGAAAGGATTGAAATAGGTCTATAATTGTTTAAAGAGTTGGCTTCTCCTGATTTATAGATTGGTATAATTTTTGAGATTTAAGCAAATCAGGTACAATACCTGTTAATTTCATTACTGGGTGGTAAAGCAAAAATTAGTATAAATAATATCAAATAGTAGCTCTGAGAACCCGTAAAAAACGGGTCTCGGTAAGTCTGTTTAAACCGACCATTTATATACATATTTTTTTCTTCAATATTTTTAAGTAATTGGTAAAAAAACTATACACCATGTCTACCTTTTGAAGTTATACCAATTCAATTGTATAACTTCAAAAGGTAGACATGATGTATAGTTTTTAAGGATTACTTAAAAATATTGAAGAAAGAAATATGTATATAAATGGTCGGTTTAAAATAGACTTACCAAGACCCGTTTTTTACGGGTCCTCAGAGCTAGTATTTGATATTATTTATACTAACTTTTGCTTTACCACCTAGTAATGAAATTAAAGAAAAAATAAGTTACATTAAAACAGCTACTAATACTAAGACAAGTCATAACAAGACGACTCTTACATAAACATTTAATTCTAACAATTAGACTATATATGTTTTCCACAGTGGTTTAGTGTATACTATAAAATATTTTCTTTCATCAAAGTTTGAATTATCCGTCAGGGTTAGGGCTAGATCAGGGTTAGTGGAGCAACCGTGGTGCAGTGGTTGGGTACTTGCCTCAGAAACAAAGGATCGTGGTTTAAACCCCACTTCGGGCAAGTTTTGCAACATCGGTTAGGAAGGAGGCGTAAACTTCCAATTAAATGCTCATCCGCGGTGTTCTGGGTAAATTTAATTCTTTCTTTTTTTTTCTATCGTGCACTGAAATAATTTTAAATTAAGAGGGTTACATGTAGCAATCACTTCTTTTGTAAAAAAATTTTTATTTTGTATTATTAATATTTTTTGTATTACAAAGAGTTAATTTAATATCAGTGAACAACAAATTTGACTTTTTCATGGCCTGAATAATAAATTTATTTTGTTTTGAAGAAGAGTAGTTAAAATATTCTCAATTTTAAAAAACGAATGCAAGTAGTTTTTACTATAATTTAGGAGAAAAAAACTGGTTTTAAAAAGACTCTTCCGACTACATTTGTTTTCCTTTGAAAACTGATGTCATGTTTGCTTAAGTCGATGCTATATATAAAGCTTTGAAACTGTAAAAGAGTTATATAAATGAACTGCCTTTTGCATCAGAATTATACAGTTCCTTCTGTTTTAATTAACCTTTTAATTTTAAAAAAATTGCAAAAACAAACACCTTTAAAGTTATATAAAATATGTTTATTCATAAAACATAGATAAATAAACGCCGTGAAGTTTATAATTATAAAAATAAATGTAGTAAAACATTTTAACAATGATAATTCAAAAGTTAAACTCTTAAAACATAAAAAAGGGTAATAAAACCCTGTAACTCTCATGCAACCTATTGTTGATGGTGACGAATTGCTGACATATAACAACTTCCAGTGTCAATTAGAGCTATTGCGACGGATTGAAGGTGAGTTAAACGTTTATTTAAATTTGTCTTGGATTTATTGCAAACGTGTTTTTGTTAGTATCATTATACCATTAGAAACTCATTTTTCCAGTCCTACCGCCACTTTCGCTACCTTGGTTTTTGTTGTGAAGTTGATTGTCAGGATTTCGAATGATCTCTTGTTATTAGCGGATTGGGTTGTGTCAATACAGCGCACAATTAGTCTGTTCATCATCCAATCTGTATGTGGATGATCTATAAAAAAGGGTTGATTCAGGTTAATTTTACCAATATTATTATTAATTGGCTCCTTATTATTGTATAGTTTGTTAAAATTTTCTTGTTCTGTTACAGTTTTATTTTTTCGAGTGTATACTCCTCTGAACGCTTCCTCCTTGTGGAAGTTGTCATTTGGAGATAAGAATGATGTTTTTGTAGTTGCTTTTTTGGTTCTTCCATTGATTTTGTTTTGAAGATCATAAATCTCATAATTGTGCTATTGTCTGAGCTCGGTTGTGAACGCCATTAATTTTATTTTGATCATTTGTTGTTTTTGACAGTACTCCTTGAGTCGCTGGGTCTGGGGGGCTCTCATTGACAATAATTTGATTTTTGTTTCATTGTACTCGTTTTAATTAGTTTTTTATATAAGTTTATATTGGACTACCTGTTGTGAGTTATTTTTATTTACTTAATTATTTGTTTAATCTTATTAACACAAATTCTATGAGAAGGTTAGAATTTTTTTTTCGTGTACTATATCTGTGATTTTTTTGCATATATTATCTATATATATTATTTATTTTATCTGTATATATATTTATTTATATACTAAATGCGTGTAATTTTTTTTATGGTGCATTAAAATATATGCAGAGAAAATCAATTTTTTTTCCCCACCAAACGATATCAATTTTTTGCCCATCAAACTGGTGACGACTATCTTTTATAGTAAAATATATAACTAAGTTAATGATGCCTTTAAAATCAAGATTTGTAAAATGTCTTCTCGTGCATCTTATGCATCTTTAAATATATTTTAGAAAACTTGTTAGGTTTTCACATATTCACAAATATTTTAATAAAAAAATATTATAAAACTTAAAGGTACAATATTATGAAGAATTGTAAATTTATCACAGGTATAAAAAAAAACTTTGCGTTATTAAATTTTCTGCTAAGATATTCCCATGTCTTACCTTAACTCATACAACATTTCATTTCTCTCCTACTTATAAGCTTTTCATTTTACTATAGAGGAGAGTGGGGAGAAGGGGTTTGGTGATAATGCATTTATATAAATATGGATTATATGGTAATATATGAACGTTTTGTAACGCTATTTATTATAAAGCACTTAATGCAAATAATTTTTACTTCAAAATAATTAAAATTGTTTTTCTAATGCCTCACCTAAAAATGGATTTTGTTTTTTAAGAGGATTTTGCCCAGCTGAGTTTTGCAAATGTCGAATAAATTTCCTATTTTAGCATGTCTTATCTTTTTATACATAAATTAGTAATAATTTTAATCTTAAGTCTGTTCTATTTTTTTTTATTTATTCAAGTTTGGCTGTTATCGAGAAAACTTTTGAAAGTAAAACAAAAATAATAAAGTACGCACATCATTTTTGCAACATTTATCAAACAAATTTGAGATCACAGAATTTCTTAATTTGAGTCAAAAATGGGAATATTCAATACAGTGAGTTTTAATATTTAAATAAAAAGTAAACTTGCCTTGATATTTTAAATTTAAATTTAAAATGTTATTATTATTATTGCGAATAGTTTCATATATTTTACTTTAACTACTTTCAGATAACTTTAAATTAAAAATAAATAAAAAAATTAATTTAAATTTCAAAATTGAAAAAAATGTTATGCTATATTGATCTAAGTAACATGTTTAACAACTATATATATAACAAGATAAATGCATAATTACATAAATTTACGTTGTATCTAGGGCTTGGCAACCAGTGGAAACCGATAGAATAACCGTTTTTTGTTCAGTTTTTTCGAAACTGAAAACTCGAAAACTGAACAAAAACGAAAAACTATTTGTTTTTCTTTTCTCAAAAAACAAATAGTTTTTTTTTTTATTTAGGTGCTCTAAGAAGTCCTTACAATCTTATCACAGCGCACCGCAGATGAGAATTTAATAGGAAGTTCACCCCTTCTTCCTAAGCGATGTCGTAAAACATGCCCAGAGGTGGAGTTTAAACCACGGATACTTATTTCTGAAGTAAGTGCGTTGCACTGCGCCACGGCTGGTCAACAGTTCGAAAATAGATAAAAAGTTCGAAGATTTTTTGTTTTGTAAAGCTAACAAATAACGTGGAAAGCACTAATATCGTATATTTGGAATAGAGAATAGTATATTTGGTTATATTATAATTAAAAATAGGTTATTTAGTTACGACAAAAAACTAAGGATTAAAAAGATTATACAAACCGATGTAAAACCGGTTATTCGGTTTAACAATTAAAAAAAAAAAAAAATCGGTTTTTAAAAATATTCCGGGTTTTGCAAAACCCCAGTAGATGTGCGTAAATTTAAAGCGGTCGCCGTAATATATCGAATATTGTAAAAAGTCTTTCAAAAGACAATTTGAAAAAAAAAAAATTAATTAAAGGGAAAGACTAAAATTAATTTACAAAAGATTAATCCAAAAAAAAAAAATTTTATGATATATACATAAACTTTAATGTTTAACTATAATGATATATAAAAACTTTAATGATATATATATATATATATATATATATATATATATATATATATATATATATATATATATATATATATATATATATATATATATATATATATATATATATATATATATATATATATATATGTATATATATATATATATATATATATATATATATATATATATATATATATATATATATATATATATATATATATATATATATATATATATACACTTCATACTTCATAAAACTAAAAACCAGTGTTTTAATCCACTCACCTAAATATGGATTTTTTTTTTTTTTTTTTTTTTTTACTTCTCTAGAAGATTTAGCCTCGATGAATTTTGTAAATGTCGAAAACATTTAAAAATTAGCTAATTTAATGTGTGTTATTTTTATATACATAAATTTGCAATAATTTAATCTAATCCTAAAACTGCTTTTTTTTATTATTATTAAACTTTTAATGCTATTAACAAGTAAACACTATTTTTGAATGAGGCAACAATAGAATTTTAAGTGCATTTCCAATACATTTAACAAACAGATTCCTCATTTAACAAAAAAAAGTTGAAATTTTTAAATTTTGAGTCGCAAATGAGCATAGTCGCTAAAGTAAGTTTTAATTTTTAAATAAAAATTGGATTATCATTTTAAATATTTTTTGTGTTTAAATTTAAATTTATAATAGTTTAAATTATAAAACTATAATAACAATAACAATTTTTATCATTTTCATATATTATCTTATAATTTTTTTGATTTTGTAAAAAAAATGTAATGCTTTTATATGTTTATTATATTATAATTTTTTTGATTTTGTTTAAAAAAGTAATGCTTTCATATGAGTTGAACTTGTCTTCTGCTGACATTCGTAATAGCCCCTCATATAGCCGGAAGAAAATAAATCATAATACCAATTGTTGACCCGGTTCATGTGACCACATTCACGGAAAAAATAACTTTCATTAGTTACTTTTCATTAGTTTTTTTGTTTTATGAAGTAAAGATAATTAAAATAAGATAATTGTTTTATAACAATCGGAATAGAGAGTTTAAAAAACCGCACGCTTCTATAAATAACAATTGTTGTTAATCTCAATAATTTTTGGTCACTTGGTCACATTGTCAATAGAAAATATTCCTTTATAGCTTCTATTTACTATAGCTAAACATAAAAGTTTATAATGTAAGGCAGATACTTTTTATTATTAAAAAAAACCGTTGAAAATGACGATACTACAATATTTTTGGCAAATACTAAACGGTATGCACCTTTTTTAATTTATCAATTTGAAGTTTATTTAATATTCTAAATACAAACAAAGTTTAAAAATGTAGAACCAATAAATCAACTTTGGATGTTGTGCGTTATTATGAAAACGCTTTTTGAATAAATATGTAATATAATAACGTTCTTCATTTTCCCTTAAACGTTCTTCATTTTCATTAACTACTCAATTTCTTTGCTTAAATACGAGTGATTTTCCTTCTTTTAATGTTGGTTCAAAAATCTTTTTTTTTTTTTTTTTTTTTTTTTTCTTTTTTTTATTAATTCACTTCCTCAAGGCCGAGAAGGCCACTACAGTCGAGGAGGCTACTTATTTGTGGTTATAACCCTCTCTCAAACGCGAGCTTTGACAAAAAAGGCCGCTGCGCGGAGAAACGAATTGAGCGCAGTACTACCACGGAAGTGGTGGGGAACGAACTCGGAACCTCTCGCTTATAAAACGAGAGCTCATCCACTGCACCATTACCGCATGCGGTAATGGTGCAGTGGTTGAGCGCTCGCTTCATAAGCGAGAGGTTCCGAGTTCGTTCCCCACCAAAATTTAGGATTTCAATTTTTATTTTATATTAATTTAGGATTTACCAATATCACTTTTAAAATACTTACAAAGATGCGCGCATTTTTGTAAGTATTTTAAAAGTGATATTGGTAACTCGATATTAAAGTTTCATTTTCTTATTATAAAATTGTACTTTTCTTTATATAATAAAAAAGAAAATAATAAAATCCTAAATTATTATTAAATAAAAATTGAAATCCTAAATTTTAAATTGCACTCTTTTATTGAAAAATTTCTTACGACTTATCCAGGACCTCAACAAAATTTTTGTCAATTTACCTCACAACAGTAAAACTGCACTACTTTTTTACTGTCAGTAAAATCTTTTTTCTAGGTAAAACAGTAGCCCAATCTTTTTTCTAGGTAAAACAGTAGCCCAATCTTTTTTCTAGGTAAAACAGTAGCCCAATCTTTTTTCTAGGTAAAACAGTAGGTTACTTTTTTTATAAGTAAAACAGTGGCAAATTTTTTTCTAGGTAAAAAAATCCCCTGGAATTTTTTTTATCAAAAACATTTTTTTGTCATATTGCAACAAATTTTAATAAATAGCTAACTAGCCCCGTGAAAATTTTGCCAACTTAACCCAAAAGCAATAAACAGCCTATAGATCCTTATAAACAGCAACTGTTGAAAAATAAAATGGCTGGAAATAATAAACCAATTGTGGCTAGAAACTTTACAACAGTTTATTTTTTCATACGACCAACTTGTTTTTTTTTTTTGTATAGTAAAAAGAAAGCAGTGTACCAAAAGTTTCGCTTTTTGCCAAAAAAAACCAAAAAGCAAATATCCCAATATCTCCTGTGCAATATCTCCAGTGCAAAAATTATTACAATACTATATTCTTTTTATATGAATAGTATTTAATATGTTTAGTTACTGTTTAATGTGTGTAATTAGTGTAAATAATTATATTATATATAAATTATTATTTTGTTGTGTCAGAAGAAACGTTGTGGGTATTATATTGTATATAATGTTTATAATGTTTGTTATACCTTTGGGGGTGTTTGCAAATGTATATATATTGAGTAAAGATATTCACAAAGACAGTAAGAAAAAACAAATATAGATTTATTATTGCAAGCTATTTGGCAATGAGCATAGTGATAAAGTTTGTGGATTTGATTTCGCAATACGATGGTCAGGGTGACTTCTCAGAACGGATACAGAAATTGGAACTGGTAGCAAAACTTCAAAAAGTTGACAGGCTGCTTATGTGATCCCCTTATTTCTTTCTGGCGGGGCGCTTGCCGTTTATCAAGGTCTTGGTGATGAGATAAAGGAAGATTATAATGAAATGAAAAATGCACTGACTACTGCCTTCTCTGCTTCTTCGCTAACAGCATACGAAGAGTTCGTAAATCACCGTCAAAGAGAAGGAGTCCGTTGACGTTTATCTCGCAGAATTAACAAGGCTGAGCAAGCTAATATAATTTCACGTAAACAAAAAGTGGATAAGGTGCGTGTTTATCCTAGGATTACCTGACGAAGCAAGAAAACAGCTGCAAACTTCATGCTCAATATTAACAATGTTGCCGACCAGATCGCTGAAAAATCAAGAAGTTTGGTAATCTTACGTCGCAAAGAATCGTGTTTTGTCAGGTGCGTGAATCCTGTTGGATCATGGAACGTTAGAAGTGCTTTTAACGTTCATGGGTCATGGAACGTTAAAAGCACTTCTGAAGAAACAGTGTGATGCAATGCAAGCAGTTTAGCTGTTGACATAGTAGAAGACTATTCGTGGCTGAGAAAACAAGCTGATATGTCTCATATTAATCTGGCAAAGTTAGAAGCTGTGATAAAAAAAATTAATCTAGCAACAAAACAGGGATTCAAATGTATTACCATAAAGTGCAACTCGCCTACTGTTGTCTGCTGGTTGAACTCCTTAATAATTGGTGACAAACCCGTTCGCGTTCACGGTCTTGGAGAACCACTAGTCCGTGGCCGGTTGTTGTTAATTGAAGACCTTGTGAAAGAGTGCAGTATAAAACTAAAACTTTTCCTGGTAAAGTCAGTAGAAATTAAAGCTGATGCTTTTACAAGGGTACCAAAGAACTGGCTGCATTCACACCATTTTGCAATGATAGCAAATGTCGTACCGCCTGATGTAAAGTCGTTTCATAATCTTCATCACTTTGGAGTCAATCGAACCCTTTATTTGATAAAACAGACATATCCGAAGGTGAAAGTTTGTAGAAAAAACGTTAAATCAATTGTAAAAAGTTGCGAAAGATGTTTATAAGTGGATTCTGCACCAATTAGATGGGAAGAAGGAGATCTTCAAGTTGGAAAGAGCTGGCACCGTTTAGCTATTGACGTAATCCACTATAAATCAGAGATTTATTTGTCTATTATTGACTGTGGCAAAAGGAGCAAGCTTTCAATTTGGAGAAGAAATGGAATAGTTGAACGTCATCATCGCACAATCAAGAATATGGCAGCCAAAAGTGATAAAGATCCGTTAAAAATGCTATATTGATATAACTTGGCTCGCGAAAAAAATGGCGAGGAAACATCGCTTCCCTACAAAGCTATATTTTCTTATGAGTGGAAGCCACACACAATTTCTGTCAAAATTAACGAGGAAGTTCTCCACAACTGTGCACAAGGACAAGAAGTGTTTGTAAAACCACCTGACTTAAAATGTACGAGCGAATGGAACATAAGAAGGCTCTCAGTTGAAAGACGAGGAGTTTCGGTAGAATAGATTGCCGAGACACATGTCGGACATCCGTGCTGCTCCCATTGTAGCTGACTTGTCTACTAGAGAATTGGAAGAAACCATCGCTGATAACCTGAATCTCAAAAGATCAACGCGTGTGCGGAAGTTTCCGAATAAGTATGCAGACTTTATGATCTAGAGATCAAGGGGTGTTGTAATTAGTGTAACAAATTATATTTTATATAAACTGATATTGTGTTGCGTCAGAAGGAACGTTGTGCGTGCGTCATATATTATATTGCCTATAACGTTCATAATGTTTATTATAACCTCGGGGGTATTTGCAAATGTATTGAGTAAAGTTATTCACAAAGAAAAAACAAATATAGATTTATTATTACTATGTGCTTGTTAAGATTGTTTTTTATTATCCAGGGTAGTTTATTTGACTAAAATTGACGTCAAAATAAATTGTTTTAACGTGTGCAACTTTGATTTGATATATCGCAAAACCCAGGTAATACAGCAGTTAGAATAAAAAGTAATTTTAAATTTTTGGGCAAAGTTTAAAGACCAAATTTTCAAAGTTAATAATTTTTATTACCTAATGATATAGCCACCATTTTGATTAATGACCTTTGCCATTCTCGCAGAATTTTCTAGATTTCTGAGCAAAAAAATGCTCATGTTGTATTGAAATTCGATGGTGCTAGATCATGTGAATAGTGCGGGTAAGTTAAAATATCTCTAAAAAATATCTCTATTAAAAAGACACGGGAAATTGAGCATTACCTTGATGAGTTTTTTTATCAATTGCTGCAATTGGAATGTTTTTCCTTTATTGTTTCAGTCGATCAAGTTGAACACTGTATCTCTCCAAAATAATTATTTGATTTAAAAATTTTATTAGGTCATAACTTTTGAACGCTAAAAGATTATTGTATAAAGTTCGTTGAGCTTGTTTCTCCCACGTTTGGGGAAGTTAACGCCAAAATTTTTATTCATGGTTCGAATCAATGCATGTTTTTGCATGGCATCATTATTTCACTTATGTATAAACATATAAATGTTTGGAGTTTCTTAAACATCAAAAAATG